TTCCTACCAGGTGATAAGGAGAAAGGCCACATCTCTCCTCCTTGATGGAATACACTGTTATACAGAGACGTCCACACCCGTGGTTCTCAGTCTGGTTATTTCGCCCCCAGGGGACATTTGGCTATAGATGGAGACATTTTGGGTTGTCACAGTTCAGGGATGCTATTGGCCTCTTGTAAGGAGAGGCCAGGAATGCTGTTAAACATATTACAAAACACGGGAAACCTGGTCTAGCCCTTAGGGAGAAGGAACCAAGACATGGTTGGTTTTTAGACAAGGTGGCATGAGGAACAACAACAAGCAACACGACAATATAGGCCCAAGACAGGGCGCTTATGCAGGAATCCCAGAAAGACTCTCTGATGGCTGCCAGGGAGAGGGTCTTTATGGTTACTCAGGCTTCCTAGCACCAGAAAGAAAGCTGATGGAAGAAAAAGATATGTTTGCATGTGCTAAGAAACTGCCGTTTCTATGTTGATGAGTAGTAAGCATGATCAATTCCTGTGTTTCGGTAACTAAAAGGGCCCTTCTCCAGGGCTGTGGGCAACCCTGTCTGGCCAACACCCATGTAGGAATTGGCAGGAGAAATCCATGCTTGCTTCACTCTGTGACTCTAGCTTCCCAGACTGGAGAAGCCAGAACCGCTTGGCAGCTATGAGCAATTCATTGCTATGAGAACAAGGATAAACTTAACCCCTTAACATGACAGGGACGTGCCATCTGAACCCATTCCAAACTTCTGCAAAATTGTTACATCAGCTATAGTGGCATGTTATTTCTTAGACGAGCTGAGCATATTCCTACCTCTATACCTTTGCATGCAAATCTCCTTGCCCTGGAGTCCGTGCCCCTCTGCTGCTTTACCTGAAGTTCCTCTTTCTTTGAATGGTGACTTCAAGCCCCATCTCCTGTAAGCACACCTGCCCATACTATTTATTTAGCATTAGCAACATGCTACCCTCTACTGTCCTAAAATTCATTTTTAGCACAGATACCCTACCTCCCCAATTAAAAATGTAATTTTTTGATGTCAAGAACCCTGTTATAAACTTACAGATCCCCAAGACTTATCTATATACTTTGCATAAGGCAAAGATACCCTACCCAAAATTATTGGTAATGTGTTCTGCCTATATTAATAGCTAGTGTTGTCTAGGCACAGTGGCTCATACCTGTAATCCCAGCAATTTGGGAGGCCAAGGCGGGAGGATCACTTGAGTCTAGGAGTTTGACACTGCAGTGAGCCATTATCTGCATTACTGCACTCTAGCCTGGGTGAGAACACAAGATCCTGTCTCTAAAAAACTAACTTAATTTAAAAAATAGCTAATGTTTACTGTGTTAGTAACCAGTAAACATTAGGAGCTGTTTTAAGTACTTAAGAAAGGTTATTATGTGTCAGCTGCTCTCAGTTCTCAGGCTAAGAGGTTTGTCATTCCATAGAAAAAGGCAAGAAGGTGAGAGAGGGTAAGAGAAGTTGAGAAATGAGGGAAAAGAAAGAGAGCAAGAGAAGGCCAAAGTTGTCCTTTTATGAGGAACTCATTCTCTCAAAAGCAGCATTAATAATTTATAAGGCCAGTTACTCTATGACCCAAATACTCCCATTAGGCCCCACCTCTCAAAACCTCTGCACTGGGGATCAAGCTTCCAACACATGAATTTTGGGAGACACATTCAAACCATTTGTGCTCTTTCTACCTAGATGCCAAATACATGTCCAGAAAAAACAGTTCTGATTTTGTGGAAGAGCAAAAAGTTGAACAACAAGAACTGTATATATTTTGGCAGCTACTATATGGCAGTTGTTCAGAGAATTAATTGAACAAGAAATCACTCCAAGGATATTTTCCAAGAATTACTTCTTGGCTGGGTGCAGTGGCTCATGACTGTAATCCCAGCATTTTGAAGGCTGAGGTGGGAGGATCGCTAAAGTACAGGAGGTAGAGACCAGCCTGGCCAACACAGTGAGACCTCATCTCTACAAAAAACTTAAAAAATTAGCCAGGTGTAGTGTCACATGCCTGTGGTCCTAGCTCCTGGGGAGGCTGAAGTCAGAGAATCACTTGAGCCCAGGAATTCAAGGTCACAGTGAGCTATGATCATGCCACAGCACTCCAGCCTGGGCAACAGAGTAAGATCCTATCTCAAAAAAAAATCATCTCTTAAAAGATATCAAGCGGCCGGGTGCGGTGGCTCACGCCTGTAATCCCAGCACTTTGGAAGGCTGAGGCAGGTGGATCACGAGGTCAAGAGTTCAAGACCAGCCTGGCCAAGATAGTGAAACCCCATCTCTACTAAAACTACAAAAATTAGCCAGACACAGTGGCAGGCGCCTATAATCCCAGCTACTCAGGAGGCTGAGGCAGGAGAATAGCTCAAACCCAGGTGGCAGAGGTTGCAGTGAGCCGAGATCACACCACTGCACTCCAACCTGGGCAACAGAGTGAGACTCCGTCTCAAAAATAAAATATAAAAAAGATATCAAGCTACCTAAAAATGCTTTGGAAACACATTAGGGTTACCTACACAGTTAACACATAGGCTAACAGCAAGGTCCCCAATTCTCCACTAATTGGGTTGCTTAGACCAAACGGACAGGGCAGTTCTAGTCCATTTGAAGGACTAGGAAGGACCTTCTGAGAAGGCAGGGGTAGGCTTTAACCTTTAGGCCAGTGTTGAAATCTGTTTGTTGTGTATCTTGGGAACACTGGTTATTTCCCAAGTTCCCCGTTTGCAAAATGAAGCCACTAATACACCTACTTCAGATGTTTACAGGAAGAGTAAATAGGGTCATGGATGTAAAATGCTGTCCCTAGTCTACAGTAAGTGAGTAAATGCTAGCTCTCCATTTGCCTCTGGATAGAAACCAAAATTAGCCCTACCTTTCATTTCTACCGCTCCCTGCCACTTGTGCCCACAGCAATCTACCTACACTGTGGCAGTAGGAAACTCCAAAGCACTTGACCTTCAATGGCTCCTCACGATCCAAAAGGATCAACCCCCAATTCCCTAAAATGGCCTCAGTCCCCTTTTGTTGCAATTTTCCCCCTCCTAAACTCTAACCCAGCTTCCAAATGGAAGCTTATCACTTCCCCAATGGTCCTTCTGAATCCACACACAGACTGTAGCCCCTTAGGATCTGTTCCTCACCTACATGATATGAAGTTAGCTGCATATAATTCTAAGCTCTCCACTAAAAGATAAACTTCTTGAAGTAGAGTGTTTAACTGATTATGATATCTGCCATAGCACACAATGCTTTGTACATGGCAGTGAGAGCTGACATTTAACAAGAGCTGACTACATGCTGAGTACTATTCTAAGTGCCTTACACGAACATATGAACTCATTTAATTATCACAACAATTTTGGAATAGGCACAATTATTCTCTCCATTTACAGATCAGGAAACCAAGACCCAAAGCAAAACCTGTCCAAGGTTATACGCCCAGGGAGTGAGAGGGTCTGGGTTCAGACCCAAGCAGCCTAGCTGCAGAACCCACGTGCTTAACCACGGTGCTACAGTCAACATTCAATCCATTTAGCTAAGTTATGTAAAAGAGCTTCAAAAACTATAAAGGACTATAAGCCACAATAAACCAAAAGTGCAAACAATATAGGTTTTTGATATCTCTAAGAAGGAGAAAGAGTATATGAAGGTTTAGTTTAGAGTCAGACCAGAGTTCCAAAACCAGCTCTATCACTTTTGATCTGTGGTCAAGTTATGAATCTTTTCAGCACCAACCTCTGAAAGTTTAATCTGCAAGATTAAACTACTTGTGAAAATGGATATGAGCATTGAGATGACTCAGGTAGAGATGACTCAGGTAGAACAGAACGTGCCTACCAAATATAAGTGGTCAATAAATTTTGGCTCGAAAACAGAGTCGAATTGTAAAACCAAGGAAACCTTCTTTTGTAAGTTATTAACCAACAATTATAAACAGCATTAAACAATCATCATAAGGACATGACTTTACGATTTTTTATTGCACTTCAGGCCTGTAAAACAGTCAAATAACATTAATTATCTCTAGTAAGAAAATAGGTGAGAGTCCCGCCTGTGGGCATAAGACTGAAACAGCAGTTGGAAAGCCGACTCATTAAAGCGAATGCAAAGGAAATATGAAAAGCACAGGCAAGCAGTGGGAAAACTGCCAGTGAAGTGTACTGACAAACACAAGTGTATCCTAATGTGTATGTTCTGGAAAGCATGCTATATAATCGGTCCAAGGGGTGAAGAGCAGAGACGTTTAACACAAGGACTGTTAAAGAACCAGCATTTTGTGTAGGATCAGAACTAAGCACAACAGGAGGCTGATTTCAGCTTAAGTTCATGGAAGAGGGACCAGCACCGGCTCCCCTGGGCTGCGGTGAGTCTATCCACGGAAGATACCCAGGCTCAGACATGAGGTAAGGGGCAGAGCTGGCTGGGAAGCCTGAACAACTCTGAAGTCCCTTCCTACCTTTGAGCAGGTCGCAGAAGGGAGGACTTGGAGACAACCTGCTCAGAAAGAGACTGGGCCTATTTTTAACAATCTTTTCTTGCGGGGGAGGGGGTGTGAAATGTAATCACTGGGGAAAGGTGGGTTAGGGCATCAGGGAGGTAACACCTGTGCAAAATGCACCCAGACATCCAGAGACTGAGACTCCGTGGCTCTCAGGACCCAGCGGCCTGCAAAGGACATTTGCCGACGCAGACCTCCGACTCCACTCAAGGTGCCTGCTTCGCCAAAGCAGCTTCTAGACAGCCCCCGACCCCCTGCCACCAGTTGCCGCCCCCAGCCCTCTCTAGAGAAGCGGAGGTCAGCTGTGCCAGAGGCCCGAAGGGGGTCGGGGTCGTGGGATGCCCGCGGGTAAAGGGTCTGAGGAAATGGGCCCAGGACGTGGAGCGGGGCTCAGGCCGGCGCCCCGAGGCCGGTTAGAAGGCTTTGCCAGCTGCAATGCAAGGGGCCAAGGTCGCCCTGGGCTCCCAGGACGCCAGCCTCGAACGCACTCACCAGTCTGCTGTCGCGCAGCAGTCGCACTGCCAGGCCCTCCATCCGCGCCACAAGCAAGATAGATAAAAATCTGCTCAGCGCCTCTGGGTCGCTAGTCAGCGCCAGAGATAAACCGGAGCAAGGCCCCACCCATTCAGTACCCGCCCCGCACACACCTACCTTAATCCCCACCCCCTGCTGCCTACGGAACCTCAAGAGAGACAAACAGGCCCCTCCTCGCTTTTGCCTTCCGCCCTGCTCACGCGAGACTTGAGCAAGGCGGGGGGCGGGAAGGTAGTCGGAGACACAACAAATATGGCGGCGGCGACTGCGACGGTGACGAAGACGGCGGCGGTGGCGGCGGCGGCGTTGAACAAGGCGGTGGGGTTTATTCGGTGCGGTTGTCAGGAGGTAAGTAGCAGGCTGCCGGCTCCTACGGCGGCAACGCGGCGGGACAGGGCGGATAAGAAGGAGAAGCTGAGGCGAGTGTTGGGTTCGCGGCGGGCGGGCTGATCCGGCCGGAGACTCAGTTCAGCGGAGGGACGGGCGTGGTCGCTATGCGGGCAGGTGATGGCCCGGAACCTCCCTAGCCGGAGCGTGGTGGGTAGCGGCGCCTATGGCCGCGAGAACCCCGAGGGAGCGGGTTCTCCAGCTGTCGGCGCCGTCGAACAGGAGCTATGAGGCTTCGAGGCAGGGACTGCTGCCTGACTCTGACAGGTGGTTGTGCGGGAGGCGTCCCGAGGTTTGCGTCTTCTCGGGGTCCCAGGGGCTGGGAGTCAGCCCGGGCGCGGGTCTCCTAGGCGTTTCGAATCCTGGCGAGGATGACGCGCGGAATCCTGGTTAGGCTGCTGCCCCGACGCCAGTCCCGGGCTGCTCGTTAGGAGAAGGACGTTTAATGTCTTTAATGATCCTGCCAGGAACCGTTTCTACTGCATGGACACTTATTTAAGGAGCATGTGAGATTTGGGAAGGATATTATAGTAAATAACTGTTCAGGTTCATACGGGATTTAGATCTCTGGATCAACTGTGTGGAGTGCGAGCAGCCAAGCCTGGCGTGCTCCATAACTGGATCTGAAGCTAAACGAGTTCTAGCAAACACTAACCACGTGGCCTACTTAGAGTCCCCTTGGTGTGCTGGTCAGAGCCCGAAAGAGGTGTGACAAGCAGGAAAAGAAATAAAGGTGGCTCAAATTGTGTGATCTGAGGAAATTCAGTTTTGAAAGAACAGAACTTATTTAAACAACTTTTTTTTTTCACTTCTGAGCTAACAATTTTTAAAATTCAATTTAATTTTGATTTATGTCGTGTTTTTCACACAGCTAGAGGTTATTATTATTGATGAGCGTTCGTTACAGTGAATTGAAATGTCTGGTGTTATTTTCCTCTAGCAGTACAGGATGTTTTCCAAGAAAACCTTAACTGTTTTGTGTTGTGATAAAGAGGATAAGAAAGATGGGATTCAGCCCATATCGGGTGTGCTTTTTTTTTTTTTAAAGCCCTTTCCCATTTCCCTACATAGGACTAATGCGTTGTTTTTATGCAACCGTAGCTGTTCAGCAGTATTAAGCTTGACCGTTTTTGAAGTGTACTGTGACAAAATGAAGTTAGTAACTTAAATTTAGAAAGACATTAAAAATCTTGCCAAAAACGAATCCACCAATGAAAAAAACGGTAGTCACACCAGCACTTTATTTTTTGGTGATTCTGTGGAGCTTCTGCTGAAGTGAAGCTACTGCTTTGTTCTTTGATTATCCATCTTTCAGCTGATGGTAATAAGATTGGCGTAAATTATTATCTGATTCAACCTGTAGATGCTAATTAAATTTTTATCCTAAAGGTTTCGATTTGTGGTATGCGTTTTCTTTTTTTTTTTTGTCAATGCAGATCTCTGTATGGCTTTTCAATTTTAGTTGAAATTCTCTCTCCATGGCCTTTTGGAGTCCTTTGCTGTATCTCCAGAGTAAATTTCAATTACTCTACATTTCATCAATGTTGGAGTGGCAAGAAAAAGGAGGAACTGATTTGGGGTGAAGAGGTTAGATTGTATAATTTCTTTTCTGGATTTTTTCAACATGGTTTTACTTGTGTTTTATTTTTATGTTTTGATTTCTGATTTCTGAGAGCCTCATAATTTCCCTTTTTCCCTCAAGAGTTTTCAGAACAAGAGTTCTGAAATCAGGAATTGTGTTCTAACTGTTTTCCAAGGCCCATGTTACTCCATAGAAACCAATCCTTATTTGTCAGCCTTCTCTATTTATATGTGTTCTATAGCAGAGTAAATCTCAGTGACCATAATTATTAGGCTGTGGAAGTAAACACATCTATTGAACTGTACTCACTTCATGTGTATAGGCCTGCCTAACCCATACATTATTGCGTAAGTTAGTTGCTAATACTGTATTCTTCATTATGGTTAGTAACCCATGAGAAGACTTCTCATGAATGCTAGATGAACGAAACCTATCCTGCTGTTCCCTAATCATGTTCTCAAAATTCTCCCACAGTTTATAAAAAAGATAGAAGGAAGATAGATTAGAGAGCCTCTCCTCTGGTTGTTTCATAGTTGTGAATGCCTTCTAGTTTGCATCTCAATACCTGTGTTTTAAATTATTAGCTACTGGTTAAGAGGTTGGGGGAGGTGCACATATATAATTGTGTGTGTGTGTGTGTGTGTGCAAGTATATATGCTTGTATTGACCAACAACTTCCCATTTGTGAGACTGAAAAGAAAGATCAGAGGACTTCATATAAAATAAATCCTTTATCAGAAACCAAGGAATATCAGAGATTATCTTAAATTACCTGCTTGAGGTAGAGGTTTTCCTGTCTTTGGGATATCAAAGCTTAATTTTCATATACCTCTCTTTCCCCTACTGGCTTGCATAGCCTCTGGTTGTTTTCTAAAAGCATTAATTTTAAGCTTTGAATGATAATTTGGGGGAAGCTACTGGCATGACAATACTTTAGGTATACCCTAGCCAGTTTCTATGTAGATATGCACCTGTACCCCATGACATTCTATACTAAATTCAACTTAACTTTAATCAGAATAATCACAGGAAGGACTTGGGAATTTTGCTATATCATAAGGAATGATCATCATAAAGTATGGGAATATTGTTCTCTTTGGTTGATATGATTAGATATCTTAGTTCAGGTTGCTATAATGAATTACCATAGACTGAGTGGTTTAAACAAACATTTCTCACAGTTCTGGATGCTGAGAAATCTTAAGATCAAGGTGCCAGCAGATCAGGTGTCTGGTGAGGGCTTGCTTTCTGGTTATTTCCTCTCATGGCAATGAGCAGAGAAGAAGCAAGATCTCTGGATCTCTTCTTACAAGGCACTTGTAATCCCATTTGGAGGGCTTCACCTTTATAACCCAGTTTTCTCTCAAAGGTCCCAGCTCCAGAAACCATCAAATTAGGGGTTAGAATTTCAACATATCAGCTTTTAGGGACATAAACATTCAGTCCGTGACAATACAAGCGGAAAGAGTAGATCTGAGTTGTAATATCACCACCCAAATCTATAATAAAACTGGAGAATACTTAAGTATATTTCTTGTTCAGATGACATGATATTACACCTTGAAATTTTGTGTAAAGTAAGTCATTTTTTGGCTAACAGACTCCAGAGTATTGAGTTCATGCCCAGTATCAGAAAGATGCCACTGCAAAAATTACAATTTGTGGATTTTTCCAAAGTATATTTTGTTACATTTACAAAGGTTTTAGAATTTATCAATGCCTTAGAGGCATCTCTGGGTATCAGTTTTTGGAGTTCCTAGATTAAACTTTGAGACCTGAGACTGATGATAATTACATTAAAGACAGGAAAATGGTTCAGATGGAAAAACTTTTATTTTCTTTCTATAAGAGGAAGTCTTCTTTAGTTGCATTTTTTTTTTTTTTAAGTAGAAATGAGGTCTCGCTATGTTGCCTGGACTGGTCTTGAACTCCTGATCTCAGGCAGTCCTCTCACCTTAGCCTCCCAAAGTGTTGGGATTACAGGCATGAGCCACCATGTCCAGACTAGTTTCATAATTATTAATATTTTTCAATTTATTGTGCTTAGAAATACTGACTTGAGATGCAGAAAGCTGAGTTTTGAGCCCAAGACTCTGCTTTGCTTTAGGCACCTTTCGTTCTTACGGGTCTATAGACCGGGGCTCTGAAGCATCCGTCATGCCCTGTGTATATGGACATAGGGAATAGAGGCCATACAGGTCAAGTAGGCACAAAAATTCTTAGGGATGAAATGACATCTGATTTTTAAATCATGACAGGATGTTTAAGGTTATAAAGGGTACTAATATATTTATAATTCTAATTTAAGAAGAGTATATTTTCTTCATGTTTGCAATGTTACAGTGTTATCTTCTCTATTTCATAGGCATTCTTTTTTTTTAAAGTTTATCCCGCATTATGGTTGAAAAGCAGCATACAATTTATGGCAGGGAACACAGTGAAGTTTATAATGTGACAATGTGATAATAGCCGAGACTGTCAAAATATGTCAGCCATCTTCTGTAATTAGGCTCATTTGTGTTCTTAAACTTGAGATGCGTGTGTAAAAATACCATTTTCTTCCGCTTGCTTTCTGGCAGTCTCCTGTGTTTTTCCTGCACTGTCACATGTTGTACGGTTGCAGTGTTATGCTTTCTAATTAAGATTTGGTAAGGTTTATCTTGCTTCCCGAAGCCTGTCAAAGTATATTCAGACATTTTCCAGTGGAAATGTATCAGTTTTCATGTGAACTGATTGGCAAGAAGTGATGCTGAGTTGCAATGTAAATCCTGGGATTTCTTTCTTAATTACAGCTTTTATAATTAGAACACAGACAATCTATAGGGCTATCCAGCTTTTACAGATTAAAAAAAGTGTTTTCCTGGATCTTATTCTTGATAGTATTTTTTACTGGAATTGACTAGCTCACATTTTCCCACCAAGGGAAAATTTAAAGGACAGATAATCAGTAGAATCAACTGTAGGCGCAGAACAAATAGTAACACAATGATAAACAGAGAACCTGTTCAAATAAACATGATAAGATGGGGAAAAAGGAACTGAAACAAGTATGTTCAAAAGCCAACAATAATCCTTAAGATTCAGAAGGTTGGGCCAGACTAAAGCAAGTGGTTTAAAGAGGTGGGTGGCCTATACGTATAATATGCAGACATGAG